CTTTTTGTCTCTGATGTGACACAATATGCCACGTGCCCCTTCCCCATTGGCTGCGTCTTCTGCCTTCCTGTGTCTTCTGACACCAATTGTGTAAGACGAGGTCATGATAACTAACCTAGCCTAGCCTAGGCTAGTGACCTGTACATCAATAGCCTCTGCAGGAGTAGAGAATGTCATCCTGGATGGCACACCTCAGAACCGAGGGGGAGGTACATCTCAGAGCCGAGAGGGAGGTACATATAGGGACCGATGTACCATATCCCCAACCGAGGGATACGTGTCGGTACGTAAACGTACTGGATTCCATTGATCCCTACGACCAGTACCTCGGGGGAGAGGGACTTGTGAACCGATGGGTACGTGTCGTGATCACAGTAACAAGAAGTAGTGACACCGAGGACACGTGTCTTCATCCTGGAGTATTTTGGAAATGTCCCATCACGCATAATAAATAGTCTAAACTAATGTTTAATACTCAAAGCACATTAAATTGATTTTTTTTTTCGTGGGTGTTGACACGAACACGACACGATTAACAATGACACGACACGTGGGTCATACGAACACGACACGTTTGACACCCCTACTTTTGACCCATCTATATTTAATCAATCTTTAAGTATCAAATATGATGTAAAAAAATAAAAATGTGTTACATTATTTTTAACTATTAGCGGACAAAATAAAACTTATAGTTAGAGTGTGTCTACCCTGGTGGCGGGGCGGTGACGGTGGTGGTAGTGAAGTGTTTTGTAGATAAAAGATTTTAAGAAATAGAATTTTTTTTTATTTTTACTTACTTATTTAAGTGGTAAAACTGTTTTTACGCATTTGGAAGTAATTAAAATAAGTTGTTCTAAACACTACTTTATTTTATTTTATTTTTTTTAAAAAGTATTTGTGAGAAATCATAACTTATAAAAGTATTTTTGAAAAGTCACCTCAAACATATCTAAAAGTGTCTATTTTTTCTATTAAATTTGAAGAGTTAATATTAACCGTCGAATTAATTTTAAAATAAAATTAAAAATAATTTCAACTACGAAAAACAAAAATTATATTTTAAATAATTGAGACGACATAGAATTTACGATGAAAAAGTCTATCTGTGAGGGGGAAAAAACTTGTAACACAAAATACTGGAGACCTGTAGACAGTAGTCTTAACAAAATTATTTTTTTACGTAATGTTTAACAGTATCACAATGATACAACTGGTAGGCTGCTGTCAAAGAATTAATTTGTTAGAAATAAATTATATACAAGGTTAATTTTATTGGAGGTCTTAAAGTATAATATTTATCTTATTTTGATCTCTAATATTTTAATTGTTTTATTTTAATCCTTGAAATATTAAATATATTTCTATGTGATCTTTCAAACCGGCAATGTCCAAATTGATAAAGATTTTTTATTATAAACTTATCTTGTGATTTCTAAATATGGAAAAAAAATAATTTATGTAGCCCTTGAACAAAGTAGGTTAGGTCTTGACCAAAATTTGAATAGTTCATGATCGAAACTGTGTAATTTTGAATAGTCAGGGGTGGTTTGATATGTTTTGAGGTCTAAAGCTATAAATTTAATTGAGACTTTTTTTTATAAAAAAAATTAATAATATAGTAAATTATTTAATTTTTTTTTTCCAGATACATATTAATTGTTTAGTATTCGTATTGAAATTTTTCTAACATATCTTATTTTATTGATAGTATAACTAATTGACTTAATTTTTAAATTAAATAAAAAATTTTAAAACTTTAAAATTCAAAGATTATTTTGATAATTTATGTTGTCTCGTCATTGACACTCTTATAAAATTATTTTTCTATGAATTAGACATTACTCATGGAATATATGTTTGACTAAATTTTTAAGATTATGATAAAAAAGACAATATTATATGGACCTTATTTAGTGATTGTATTTGATAATCTTATCATTTTCTGTCATTAGATTGACAATGGATCCTACTATTTTTTGGAACTCATTATCAGTTCCACAACTATAATCCATCATGTTACCAGATATGATCACTAAATTAGGTACAAAATATATTTTCTTTTTTGTTTCTTGTACTATGTTATCGTGTGAGATTAATGGGTTACATTTTTCGGCCCAAAATCAGTATAGAGTTTTTTGGTTGCTTGAGGCCTTCATATGGGACTTTCTTATACGACTAATTTTAATGGGTTAAGATTGACTTGGGCTATATTTATAAATTTTTTAAATTTTGGGGCCCTCTTTATTAATGAAGCCTAAAACCATCGCTTCTTTTCCTTCTGGGCCGGCCTTGTTCCTAGTTCATACTTTTCGATTTCATACACCATTAGTTTTCATTTTCATTCACTCGTTATTCGGTGATGTGATGTGATGAAATCGAGTTCAAATAGTTTAGTTTTACATGTGTTATATTTTCATTAAATTAAAAAATAAACATAATATTGAAAACGAATATTTCATAGCATAATTGGGAGAAAATATTTACACTGTTAGACATGTGAAAGTGTGATATTTCATAGTTCTGCCAGCTGGTGCATGAAAAGCATAGAATATTTTCCCCATGATTGGACCCCAAACTGAAACATCTTCACCTTCAGAATTCTAAGGTTTGAGTGCAGTCTGGTATACATCTGTGTCAGCCTCGAAGGAGTTCTGCACAAAAAGGACAAACTAGACCGACACCCCTTATGATCTGTCTAATTCACAATATGTACCCACGATACTGTGTCCCTTCTTGTTTGTTATATATCGAATTCAAAAGATTCCTCAACTTTTTTTGATGCATATAACCTACCCAGAAGTTTCCCACAGAGGGCTATCAAACCCAATCATAATTGTCATCTCTGCTCTTCCGCTATCACTCATATTTTTCACGATCAAAGAAGATCAGCCAATTACCAGCCAACCATTTGGACCGATGACTTCGTAAAGTCCTTGAAGAGCGAAGATATGGTAATTCTTGAAGACTTCACTTCGTCAATTCCACCTTTTTCACTTTTTTTGTGGAGTTTTTCTTTTATTTTTGTTTCTAATTAATGTTTTATAAAATAGGGTATTACTACTAATAAATAACATATATCACAATTGAAAGTATTAAGGTGGCCTAATGCACGAGGCTTCTGCCGTTACAAGATAGGAGTTAGATGTAAGCAATTTTATCCTGCATGCCAAAAGACTGTTTTCATTGCTCAAACTCTTGACACTCAAATAACAAATAAAAACTTCTAGAAACAAAAAGACTTGATAGGTATCAGTTATAACATTACTTTGTAGGCTTTTTCTGTAAAATGATTTGAGAAAACATAGACCAAATTTCTAAAAACATCATTCCTAGCATGTTTTTAGAAATTGTTTTTTTTTTTTGGAAAAGACACAGCATCTTGCAGGAGCACAAATGCCCTTTTTCTGGGACAGGTGGGCACCAGGTCTTAAAAGGCACCTTGTCGTCGTGCAAAATGTATATTCAGTACTCATTTTCCCTACCATTCGATGTGGGAATGCATTTTCATTTAGTACAGATTTTATTTCGTAAAAGTAGATTTTCATTCACAACGATGTAAACTTATATATATACTAGTTATTGTTTGTACTTAAAGGTACATAATAGTAAAAATAATTATCAATCATAAATATATTTATATTCTCACCCAAAATTAAATTACAAACAAAAATGAGAGATAAAAAAATTTAAATACCGATTGTAGTGGTGGTGGAAAATTGTAATGATTATGGTAGGCGACGATGACCGTGGTGATGGTGGCAGCCGTGAGTGGTAACAGTGGAGGTGGTGGTGGTGGTTTTTGGGTGACAATAGTGATAGTGGCAACCATGAATAACGGCATTGGGTGGTGGGGGGAGACGGTGGTGATAGTTGGTGGTGGTGGTGATGGGGGGACGAGGTGGTGGTGGGTGTGAGTGGTAGTGGGTGACGACGGTTGCTTATGGGTGAACGGTGGTTGTGGGTGGTGACAAATGATAGTAATGATGGTAGGTGTGATGGGAGTGAATGATAATTAGCAGAGACAGTGGTGGGCAATGACGTATAATGATGGTTGATAGTGGTAGGTTTGGAGGTGGTTGACAGTAGGTGGTGACAGTGGTGGGCGACGACGGGTGGTAGTTGGTGGCGATGGGTGGTGTTGGGCAATGATGGTGGTGGCGGCGGTGGACGATGGTGGTGATACTGGTAATAAATATAAGAATGAGATGATAATGATAGTGGGTGATAGTGGTAACAATCGATGTGCGTGACGATGGTAATGGTAGTGATGTGTAGTGGCGATGGTGGTGGTTGTAGCAGAGGTGGTGCTGGAGTGGCGACAACGATGGTGGTGGTGGTAGTTGTGGTCATGGTGCGGTTGTGGGGGTAATGGTGGTAGTGAGGGTGGTGGTAATAGCAGTGGTCGTGGTGAAGTATTTTGTACATAAGTAATTTTAAAGAATTAGAAGTTATTTGTTTTTATTTTTACTTATTTGAAAATAATTAAAATAAGTTGTTCCAAACACTGTTTTTTATTTTTTAAAATGCATATGAGAAGTCATAAGTTTTAAAAATATTTTTTTAAAAGTCACCTTAAATACACCCTTAGGAGGACTATTTTCCCTATTAAATTTTGAAAAGTTAATATTAACTGTCGGATTAACTTTAAAATAAAATTAAAACGATCTCAACCACAAAAAATTAAAATCATTTTTACCGAAGGNTTTTTAAAATGCATATGAGAAGTCATAAGTTTTAAAAATATTTTTTTAAAAGTCACTTTAAATACACCCATAGGAGGACTATTTTTCCTATTAAATTTTTGAAAGTTAATATTAACTGTCGGATTAACTTTAAAATAAAATTAAAACGATCTCAACCACAAAAAATTAAAATCATTTTTACCGAAGGTAAAAATGATGTACTTTATTGTATATATTTTTGTTCAACAATCCCATGTTAATACCATCATTTTGTGTGTGTGTGTGTGTGTGTGTGTGTGTGTGTGTGTGTGTGCATTTGGAATTTATACGGGATGAATTACACAAGGAAAGGTCAAAGGAACTGGAGGATGAGGTGAAGATTATGATTGGTGATGAGGGTGTGAGACCATTGACATTGCTCCAATTGATAGACGACGTAGAACGATTAGGCTTGGGCTACCGATTTGACAAAGATATAACTGTAGCACTCAATAGAATAATTGCAATGGACGAGACTAATGTGGGAGCGGAGAAGAACATTCATGTTACTGCTCTCAAATTCAGGTTCCTCAGACAACACGATTATGACATCTCTCAAGGTACTTATCATACTTTTCTCTAGAAATTTAATAATTCCATTTCTTTTATTTCGTAACAATTTAGGATTCTCAATCCGACCTTGTAAGAATTTAGTCTCTCCCACCGATTCAAGGTAGAATCTTGATTTTTAAAGTAGTGGTGGTGTTATAACCAATATATCCTTAAATTCACATACCTACACATACATGTGGCAACGAAAGTGGTAGTGGTGAAATGGCAATACGGACGACAGTATTTACTATTGATGAGGAGTACCATTGTGATGGGTGGTGGTGGGTGATGGTGGTAGTGGCAATAAGTGGTGACGGTGATTAGAGGAGGTGGTGGTGGTGGGACTGCCAGTGGTGGTAAATGGTAGTGGGCGTGTTGGCTGGTTGTGGTGGGAGGAGCAAGTGGTTTGGTGGCACAAGTGATGGTGGTGGTGGTGTTGGCAACTGTAATAGTGGTGATGGCGGTGACGGTGATGGCGATGATGATAATTAAGTGAATATGAGAGTTTTTTTTTTCTTTTTCATTTTTTGTTCTTAAAACTTATTTAAGTAGTAAAAGTACTTAACTTGCCATAAAAATTAAAATATCTACTAATAATAATTTTTTTTGTTCAAAATATTTATGAGAAGTTAGTTGTAAGTGTTTTTTTTACAGCAATGTTACACTGACCAAATTTAAAACCCAAATAATATGGCAGCTGACTTGGGCTTCTTTATTTAGTGTCATGTCATTTGAACCCCAATAAAGACTCCAACTAATATGTTATGTCATTTGAACTCTAAATTTAGACTTAAAATTTAGTCAGCATAGCATTACTGTTTTTTTATTATTTGAAAGTTGTAAGTCTTAGAAAAAAAAAATTTAAGGTAATGACAAACGTCATATCAAAACCGCCATATGTATATAAAATATGTTTGTTGTATATGAATATTAGAATTCTCATTGTATGACTCGATACTTTTTGTGCAAGACAGATATGTTTCAGAGTTACAAGGATCACTACGATGATTTTGTAGAAGACTAGCAAAATGATGTCAAGGGATTGCTAAATTTGTACGAAGCTTCATTTCTCTCCTTCGTGGAAGAGAATGTCTTGGAAGAGCTCAAATCTTTTGCAATGATTCAACTTGAGGACATCAAGGGACACATAGACAAAAGCCTCGTGGAAAAGATAAATCATGCATTGGAGCTTCCGTTGCACCATAGGATGTGTAGGTTAGAAGCTCGGTGGTACATCGATGTCTATAGTAAGAATAAAGAAGCAAATCAATCGTTGCTCGAACTTGCTGTTTTAAATTTCAACATGGTACAATCTACTTTACAAAGTGATCTTAAAACAGTGGCGAGGTAAGACTAATGGTTGATGTAAAACACCTTCGAGCCATCGAATGACTTAAATAGTTCATTTCAGACAATCCTATCATTGTGACTATATGATGCAACATGATAAGAAGGAATATTCACATCACACCAAACATTCATAGTCCTTCGATGAACTCCAGATTGCAATTTTTGTGAAATAATCGACCTTTAAAATTTTTATCAGGTGGTGAAAAGGTATAGGTCTTGCTAGCGAGTTGAACTTTATAAGAGATAGGTTAATAGAATGCTTCTTCGGGACAGTGGGAATGATTTATGAACCGAGATTTAGTAATTGTCGAATAGGTTTAACACAAATTATTGCACTAATAACTACAATTGACGATGTTTATGATGTTTATGGATCGTTAGATGAACTTCAGCTATTCACTGATGCTATTAAAAGGTTTGTATTTTCAAGGAATTATTCAACCTTTAAATTTCTCTTACTCGTTTAATGATCCCTTCAATGCTTCTCCTTGTTTAATTGAAACGTTCACATCTTTCTGTCAGATGGGATGCCAATGCAGTGAAAAGTTTTCCATACTACATGAAGTTATGCTTCCTGGCTCTCTACAACACTGTCAATGAAATGGCTTACGACACTCTGAAAGATAAAGGCATAAACGTCATACCAATCCTATCTAAAGCAGTATGTTACCCCATATGGATGCTTACATGTAGTATAGTCTTGACTTAAAAATTTTAGATCAAATTACAATTTGCACCCTCAACTATGCCCATGTCTTAAATCACCACCCCAATTATCATGTCTCTCACTCTGCAGCTCTAACTATGATTGTAAATTTCACATTACCCCCTCAAATATTATGTTTTTCACAATACACTTCCAATTATGGTTAATGGTTTCATATAACTCCAGTTATGAGCATTTAAAAACTTTAATTATCACATATTTGGATGTTTTCTATCCAAATATGGCAGACGTTGGGTTTGGAGGTAGTATAAAATTGATTCAAGTGGATGATAGCGCAATGTGAGACGGTCAATAGTTGATGGGGCAAAGTGAGATCACAATAATAGTTAAGAGGATCAAAATTTAATTTATCAAAAGTTTTGGTCTATAAATTGATATTTATTTGTCTTGTATACTTGTTTTATTCAGTGGGCAGACTTATGCCAAGCATTTTTGGTGGAAGCAGAATGGAATTACAGAAAACACACGCCAACGCTTGAGGATTATCTTGAAAATGCATAGCGCTCAGTTTCTGGGAATGTTATTCTAATTCATGCCTACTTTCCAATGAATCAAAATGTCACAACACAGGCATTAGAGTATTTGGAGAAATACCATGATATTTTAAGGTGGTCATCCATGATTTTTCGACTTTGCAACGACTTAGGTACCTCAAGGGGTATGTACTTCACACTACATAATCAACCAAATGCAGTCCATGATTTGGGTTTCTTTTCAATATGGTACCAAAAGTTACGACTCGATCGTGCTGGATCAGGATTGAATCAATTGAGATTACAACACAGTAATGTCTTTTTGGGATCGATTCTTAAAATGTTAAGTGTATCCCAAGTTTTTGAATCATAATTTAACTTTGATCGAGTCATAACTGATCTTTTTGAGTCATAACTTAACCCTAACTTATTGGTGTGGCAATAAAATCAATGGTTGTTGTCTCCTATATTCTCTATTGTGCTAGAATAAAATTCAAAGCTGATGGTAATAAACTGATTTACCAGCTTTATAACAAACATACTTAATCTTTGTGCATTACAGGATGAGTTACAGAGAGGTGAAACAGCAAATTCAATCCTGTGTTGTATGCATCAAAATGGACTTTCGGAAAAACTTGCCCGCGAACACATCAGCAATTTAATCAATGAAGCATGGAAGAAACTGAACAAAGGTCGAGTAGATGATTCTCCTTTCTCAAAACATTATCTTGAAACAGCAATGAACCTTGCTCGGATTTCCCAATTCACGTACCAATATGGAGATGGGCATGGAGCTCCTGATAGAAGATCATAAAATCGCGTCATGTCAACAATTATTGAACCCATAAGACTCATCGAATATGAAAAGCACTAGTGAATTTTGCTAAATAATGGTCTTTGAGAAGGGTGTGTTCCTCAATTCTTGAGTGTAGGAGTGTCTAGGATTCTTCAAACTGAGCACTTCACTGGTAACTTAATCCACATGCAAGTGACAAAATAGTTCGATAAGAGAAACTTCCCACATCCTCCACAGATGTAAGAGAGTCTTACTTCCTACACGTCTTAACACAATATAGTGATATAAAGTGTCAGTTAGACTTGCAGATAAACAACTGGATATATTCGGTGTACTCTTTTGAACTATGACTTTTGTTTTAAATTATTCCCTGAACTTTCAATTATTCCAATTTTCCCTTTGAACTATGTAATTTATTTTAATCGATCCTTTCCGTTAAGATTTACAAATAATTGTGACCAATTCTGTTAAGATTACATATTAGATGATAAATAGTTTGATAAGAAGCACTTCTTACATCCTCCAAAAAATATAAAAAGAGTCTTAGTTCCAACTTTGTTTAATTGCACAAAAACAATTGGAAATAGAAAGAGGGAGGAAGGGTAGTTTTCTGTTGGGAGACTGGGAGCCCATTAATCCAAGACATAATATATATGTCTGGAACTCATACCCACCTAAATGTTTAAGCCTATAAATAGTGAGCCCCTCAATTGTGTGTTAGGATACTTTAACTTATTTTTTTATCCGATATGAGATTTTCACACATACAATGCTCAACAATCTCTCCCTCATGTATAAACCACGTCGGACTTTGCTCCCCCAAGCACCACGTCCAACTAATCTTTAGAAGAGTTCGCTCATCCAAGAACCCAAGCTTTTATCAATCTTTTATGAGTTATCACATTACCACTCTGCCAAGAACCCATGCATCCATGGTCTCGTCATGCTCTTTTTCCAAGTTGTATTTCCATGACATCAATACCAATAATCCTTCACTTTTTCTTAAGAGTCATCATTGCTATTGGCATGCTACTTCGCTTATTTAAGAGTTCACCCATGATCAGAAGTCAACGCCTTTGATACCACTTGTTAGGAGACTAGGAGCCCATTAATCTAAGGCGAAATATACATGTTTGAAACTTATACCCACCTAAAAACTTAAGCTTATAAGTGGTGATCACATACGAAAGGAGGAGGAGGGAGGTAACTGGGTTATAGGTTGATCAGCGATGGATTGAGCCATGGCAGATGATTGTAATCACCACATCTTCCTTCATTACCAGCTTCACCAAGAATTATCTTAAAATCTAGAAACATTCTTAGAAAAATGTTAATCTCGCAGATACAAAAATAGATTATACTCATAAGCATCAATTCGCAAATAGATTGATAGAGAGAGAGAGAGTCCGATGTGTGTGTGAAAGAGAGGTAAGAACAGAGTGAGTACAATGTGTATGTGTGTGTGTGAAAGAGAAAGGTGAGAATAGAGAGTGTGAACAACAATGTTGGCAATGGTGGACAAAGTCTTGAGACATAACCATACAATCTTGAAAGAAAGAGGCACTAATTGACCACTCTTCTTGCCCTCGCATTTCTTCGTCCAAGGTCGGCCCATACACAAGGCCACTAAAGCACGGGCTTTAGGCCCCAACTAAATAAGAGATTTCAAATTTTTAGGTTTATATAACATAGTCTCTACCAAAAATTTAAACCTACAAAAACTGAGTCCACCAAAAAAATTCAATTCAAATTTCAACCAACAAAAAAATCTTAGTTAAATGATTTAGTCCAAAAGTCTAGGCAATGACAGACAAAATTAAATTTGGAAAAAAAATAAAAAGTAGTGTACATTAGACATCACTAGTCTCTATCTTCTCTCTTTCTCTCGCAAACACACACATAGGCGCACGTTCTCCTTTTAGCTAAATTTTTTCCCTTGTGTAAAATTAAAGGGAAATCGGAAATTGGTATATAGATATAGATTTATTTGAGTAAAAGGGTACTAATGAAAACTTATTGGGCATAAGTGCATTTTGATGGAAAAAGACCAAAAACTCATTCTACAAGAGTAACTCTTGCAACAACAGATTTTTGGAAAAAATTATATCACATTAATCCCCCCCCCTATTTTTTTTCTCTCTCTCTCTCCCTCTCGTCGTTGCTTACTCTATCTCCCCTATTTTCTCTCTCTCTCCCTCCCTAACTCTCTCTCCCCCTATTTTTTCTCACCATTNAGTAAAAGGGTACTAATGAAAACTTATTGGGCATAAGTGCATTTTGATGGAAAAAGACCAAAAACTCATTCTACAAGAGTAACTCTTGCAACAACAGGTTTTTGGAAAAAATTATATCACATTAATCCCCCCCCCCTATTTTTTTTTCTCTCTCTCTCCCTCAAGTCGTTGCTGACTCTATCTCCCCTATTTTCTCTCTCTCTCCCTCCCTAACTCTCTCTCCCCCTATTTTTTCTCACCAGTACTCTCTCTCTCTTTCTCTTATCCATAATTTATTTTCTTTTCAAATATGAAAGATTTAATTTGATTATTTTTGTTTGAAATTATAAAAAAATTTATTTTTTTTGATACACCTTATTAGTGTATCTGTTTGATGTATCTCTTTGGTGTATCACTTTCTTATATCAATTTTGTACATCAATTAAGGGTATCATTTTAGTATTTCAGTTTTGGTATATTTGTTTGATGTATTTCTTTCGTATATCACTTTCTTGTAGCAATTTTGTGCNTTACTCTCTCTCTCTTTCTCTTATCCATAATTTATTTTCTTTTCAAATATGAAAGATTTAATTTGATTATTTTTGTTTGAAATTATAAAAAATTTTATTTTTTTGATACACCTTATTAGTGTATTTGTTTGATGTATCTCTTTGGTATATCACTTTCTTATATCAATTTTGTACATCAATTAAAGGTATCATTTTAGTGTTTCAGTTTTGGTATATTTGTTTGATGTATTTCTTTCGTATATCACTTTCTTGTAGCAATTTTCTACATCAATTAGGTTTATTATTTTAGTGTTTCTCTTTGGATTTCACTTGTATCTCTTTGGTGCATCTATTAGGTGTATCTCTTTGGTGTATCCATGTGTTGTATCCCTTTGCAATCACTATGTGTAGTGAATAACCAGTTCAACTTGTACCTATTTGGTGTATCTCTGTGGAGAAAGTAACATTTAGAACAAAATCAAAAAGTTGTGTTTGGAGTCGTATCGTAATACTTTCAACTAGTTTGGAGCCGAATTAGAAAATCTACAACTGTAGAATACAGAAAATAGTTACGTTTGAAGGCAATGGTTGAAGAATATACTGTGAATTGATGTAAGAATAAATGTTCAAAATTCAAACGAGTGAAAAAATCAAATCAAATATTTAAATATTTTAAAAGAAAATAAATTATCAACGGGAGAGAGAGAGAGAGAATAAAAAATAGGGGAGGGAGTGAGAGGAATAGAGAAAGAGACAAAGAAAAAGAAAATAGGGGAGAGAATGATAGAGTAATGGAGACAAAAAAATAGGGAGAGAATAACGGTNGTTACGTTTGAAGGCAATGGTTGAAGAATATACTGTGAATTGATGTAAGAATAAATATTCAAAATTCAAACGAGTGAAAAAATCAAATCAAATATTTAAATATTTGAAAAGAAAATAAATTATCAACGGGAGAGGGAGAGAGAATAAAAAAATAGGGGAGGGAGTGAGAGGAATAGAAAAAGAGACAAAGAAAAAGAAAATAGGGGAGAGAATGATAGAGTAATGGAGACAAAAAAATAGGGAGAGAATAACGGTGAGAAAAAATAGGGAGAAAGACAGAGTAAAAGAATAAAAATAAATGTTCAAAATTTAAATGAATGATAAAATCAAATCAAATCTTTACATATTTAAAAAGAAGTAAATTGTCAATTAATGATGCATTATTTAAGAAAGATTAATTAAGTAATACATAAAAAAGGTAAACTGGATTGTATACCTAATAACTAGAAATTATTGTATAAGTGAACTTAATAGAGTAAAAATCTTATTAGTAAACTTTCTCTCAAATAAGCATTAAAAAATGCACCCACACCTAATTTTCTCAAATTTAAAACATAAATCAAACTATTCATTTTCATCAGCTCTCCTTTTTAATCTCATTTTCTATTTTTTTATCTATTACGAGTGCATTACTTTTTTAAATAACTAAAGACATAAAATATTAATCTACGGAATCTACTCGACAGTGAGGAATTGTGAGATACACAGACATTTTGATCATTTGAATGGGAGAAGGCACAATAGGGCCAACCCTAAGACCTGACTATTAAAATAGTCTCCTAAACCCTAAAAAATTTAGGCCCCCAATTAATTTTTAGCCCTTACTTCAACTTTATATTCGGAGACCACTTTTGAATAAACTAAATTAAAGGCCCAATGTATTTTTGCAAGTCTACGTAAAATCTTATAGAAAACCCTAAAATATAACAATATTTTCTCAAATCTATATAAAAATNTTTTTGCAAGTCTACGTAAAATCTTATAGAAAACCCTAAAATATAACAATATTTTCACAAATCTATATAAACTTTATAGAAAACCCTAAAATATAACAAAACCTTCTAAAAAAAGCCTAAAATTAATGACTTCTAGAGTGTTATAAGTAGCACTCTTTCTCAAATTCCTTTCACACTTCTTTCCTCCACTTTCACCGCCTCTCCCAAATCTTTGTCTCCCTCTCACTCTAATTGTCTTGCTCTCTCTTTTGCCCTTATCTCTAACTTTTTTGCTCTCTAGACTCTAATCAATTTATTTATGTATAAGATTCCGACTTCATAATTGCACCCAATTGATTGTCTAATCATGTCCGATCCCAAAACCACTAAAACCTTGAAACTAAAACCACATTGAAATTCTTTGCAAAATATCTAATAATTATGAAATTTTTTTATTATCTTTCTAAAATAGTGATCGGGGCCTCATTTAAAATTCTTGTTTTAGGCCCCAATATGTAGTGGGTGGCCCTTTATCT